TTGTTACCCAGGCCAGACAGGGCCCGACTCCCCCGCCGCCTTCGCCACGCACTCGGCCCCACGTCTGGCTCCGGCCCGTCCCCCGGCCTCCCTGCCCACGCGGCGGCCTGGCTCACAAATCCAGGCCCCGGATCCCGCCAGGCCTCTGCTCAGACCCAGTGGAGAAGGGTCGCGCCCGGCCTGCCGCCTCCCGCGCTCTCCGCCCGGCTTCGACGGGCCTCCATGGCCGCCCGGGACGAGCGGGGTGCCGCGCCTCACCGAATTTAAGGCGAAGAGAAGAGAGCCAGAAATCCCGATGTGGCGACAACTGCAGCAGTGTCTCCTTTGCGACCGGAACTAACGCGCGGAGGAGGGGGAAGAGGAGGGAGAGGGAAGCTGTGCCACCCGCCCGGCCGCTCTCCTATCGCGAGACTTCCTCTCCTTGCACCACCCCGCCCCACCCTGATCGCGACCCTGCACTTCCGCCTTTTCCATTCCTTGAGATTTGGGGTGAGAAAGTAGAAAAAGGAAGGGAGGCGGGGCTTCAAGCTTCTTTATTCCCTTCTTGAGATCCAGGTTTACTTGGACACGTGTTCTAGATTAGCTTATTTTTCTTCTGCCGCCGCATCATCCGGATCCTTCACACACAGAGAGGTTGGAAGAGCTACACCACCCCCACCAGGCTCGGAGTTGGGCTCGTCCACCCCAGTCGCTTCCCAGCCAGACCCTCTCTACTCCGGAAATCGGAATACAAGGGCGGGGGCGCCCGAGCTGCACAGGGGCGGAGGTCGAGGGTGGGACCTGGGGCGGCACCTGGGGAAGGAAGCCCCGCCCTGGCCGAGCCGGTCTGTCTAACTCAGGCTGCGTCCGGAGCTGGGCGCTTTTGCTTGCGCTGCTGGCTGGCTGGGTGGGTCAGTTCCTTGCCTCCGAGGAGGACCCACACAGGAGGTTCAGAGCGGGAACTTCTGTCCTCCCACGGCGGCTACAGAGCAGCGGGCTCTGCTGTCTCCTAAGTGTGGTGGGTGGTGTGGGACTTGTTAGAACAATTTGCTGGACCCCACCACGGCGTTTCTGAGTCTGTAGGAATAGTTGTGCCCAGGGACATACATGCCTTTGAAACCGTCCATGTAAAATAAAAGGCCACAAGGTTAGCCTTGTGATAGGGGCCTGAATTCTGTTAGGATATAAACTGAAAAATCATAAGGTTCTTTGACCTTTTCTCCTTTCATGCATACCATAGTCCCCAGGGCTGCCTGCAAGATTAACAGACTTGTTTTTCTCTTGAAGAACAGTGAACTGTAGGTCATGCCGACCTCCTTGATGGTATCCTGAAGTTTATTATTATTATTTTTTAATGTTGGTTAGTACAGTCAGCCCTGTGATATTCTCCAGTAAGGGCTGATCTCTGGAACCCTTTTCCCTAGGAGGAATGCATCAGCAAAGTCTTGCTTTATCAGATTCAGCCTTCTTAATCCTCCAGTTTTGTTTTTTGTTTTGTTTTGAGTTGGAGTTTCACTCTGTTCCCAGGCTGGAGTGCAGTAGCACAATTATGGCTCACAGCAACCTTGACCTCCTAGTCTCAGGTGATCCTTCTGTCTCAGCCTCCCTAGTAGCTGGGACTACAGGTGCCGACCACCATGCCCAGTTCATTTTCTGATTCTTTGTGGAGATGAGGTCTATGTACACCTGTAGTCCCAGCTACTCAGGATGCCGAGGTGGAAGGATTGCCTGGCTCAGAAGGTCAATGCTGCAGTAAGCTGTGATCATGCCACTGCACTCTAACCTGGTCAACAGAGTGAGACCCCAACTCAAAAAAAGAAAAATAATAATAATACATACTTTTACCAAAATGTTTAAGGAAGAGAAGCAGGGCCCAGGGAAGGTGATTTTAGGGACAATTCCTGTTGTTACGGCTGTTCAGGTAGGAGAAGAGTGAGGATACACCACATACAGGTGTAGCACACCGGCTAATTTTTTGATATTTTCTAGAGACAAGGTCTTGCTATGTTTCCCAGGCTGGTCTTGAACTCCTGGGCTTAAGTAATCCTCCCATTTCAGCCTCCCAAAGTGCTAGGATTACAGGTGTGAACCACTACATCTGGGCTTAGTCTGTATTGTTAGTTGACTTACTTTCATTAACTATCTGACCTCTGCTCCCCCACCCTCAACTTTGTGGAAAATTACTTTCTCTGTTTTTTCCTAAAATTGTTGCCAAATTCAGTGATTCTTTTTAGTCTTTACCCTCCCTGCCTCCTCTAAACATTTACTGTTGCCCATCCCTTAAAACTTTGCTCCAATTATCTCTCTCTGAATATGACTCTGGTAGTATTTTCTGATTCCTCTATCCTGTACTGACACCTTTTCTTTCTTTATAGTTTCTTCCATGGAAGTTTCATACAGTCTTAGGAATTTAACATTTACTTCATTTGAAAGAGTTCCAAATTCATCTACTGAATCATTAAACAAAAATGTGTTGAATCCAGGCTGCAGTGAGACCGTCTTGAGGCAGGAAGGGACCTGATGTGTTGGAGGAACAAGAGACCCATGTGAGTGGAGCTTGTTGGGACATGGGAAGGCTGTGGGAGAAGAGGGAGGCGGCAGGAGTCAGGTCTTTAGTATCCAACCCCATCTTTTTCTCCATTCCACACTGTCTGGTATCTTTGCTGGACTGCCAAACCTGACATGTTCAGAGCTGTGGATTACTTGTCTCCCAAAACTTTTTTTGTAGAGATGAGGTCTCACTATGTTGCCTAGGCTGGTCTTAAACTCCTGAACTCAAGCGATCCTCCTGCCTTGGCCTCCCAAAGTGCTGGGATTACAGCTGTGAGCCACCACACCCATCCCCAAAACTCTTTTTTTCACTCTGAAGTTCTGTTTAAAGGTACAGTGTTTCACAAATAAAAATGATAGCTACTTATCATTATACTTATACAGCATATATATATGTCAGGCACTCATCTAGGCACTTTATATGCTTATCCTCAAAGCATATAAACATTTAATCCTCCAAACTACCCTATACTCTAGATACTATTATTAGCCCCATTTCATAGATGGAAATACTGAGGCATGGAGGTTAAGGAACTTGCCCTTGTCATAGTAAGAGGAAGAACTTGATTTGAGCCCAAGCAGTCTGGCTTCAGCACAGTAATGCAGTGGCTTATCATCAAATTCTTACTTATCTATTCATTCAACAAATATTTATTGAACCAGAGACCAGTAGAGATATATGAGGGGGACTCAAAAAAACCTCAGAATTTATTTATTTATTTAGAGTTGGAGTCTCACTCTGTCTCCCAGGCTAGAGTGCAGTGGCATGCTGCTCACGGCCACTGCAGACTTGACCTGCTGGGTTCAGACAATGCTTCTGCCTCAGCCTTCCAAGTAGCTGGAACTACAGGTGCATATTACCACACCCAGCTAATTTTTTGATTTATTGTAGAGCTGAGGTCTCACCAAGTTGCCCAGGCTGGTCTCAACACCCTGAGCTCAGGCAATCCTCTCGCTTCGACCTCCTAAAATGCTGGGATTACAGGCTTGAGCCACTGTGCCCGGTCCAGAATTTATTTATTAAACATTGTATATTTGTTCTTACATGTTTAAACTTCAATCACCCTCAAAGTACTCTCTGTTTGATGCAATACACTTGTCAAGATGCTTTTTCTACTGCTCAAAACAGTTTTGAACTTGTCAATTTGAATGCCTTTTAGTGCTTCTGCTGTTTTTTGTTTTACCTATTCCACATTAGAAAAAAAAAAAACATCCAGGGGAAACAAAAAGAAGTCACTCAGGGTGAGATTGGGTGAATCAGGATGGTGGGACCTGGGGATTATGCTGTTTTTGGTCAAGAACTACTGAACACTCAGTGTGGTGTAGGCAGATTGTTCATGTAAATTGCCTATCATGAAATGGGCAACTGCATTGAAAGAATCTCTTGCCAAAAAATTCACTGAAGCTGAACGCAGCCTCTCACAACAATAGCTGGTATACTGATGCTGATGGGTTCCTAGAACACTTATCTCGTGGGGAAGCCTATTCAAGAAGCCCACTCTTCAAAGGTAATTCCAGTTTTTTGGGGTCCCCCCATAGAGGTGACACATTAGGCCTATGGCCTCACAAAGCTTATCTTCTATTTAAACCACATTTCTCAATCTATCATGTTTTTCTAGAACCATCTTGATATAGGCATCTATAACCCCTAAGTGAGACTTTTGCTAAAACTACCTACCTCTCTGTCTCTACACTTTGAGGGATCTTCTCAAATGCAGCCTGAATCATTTCTCTTTACTGTTTAGATGTCTTGGTTTGTCATCAAGACCACTCAGGGATAGCAATGACCGTTTTTGTTCTCTTAACCTTTTATTACCATCATGGTGGGGTGTGCGGCAAGCAATTTTTGACTAAAAAATTACATTAAAAATAGCAAGTTATTGTCTTTAAAAATTACAGTGGATTAAAGGTTGAAAAACTGCATCTGGTGAGAGCCTTCTTGCTGGCAGGAACTCTCTACAGACTCTTTGCAGCACAAGGTACCCCGTAGTGAGGTCATTCTCACTTGTGTTGTGACATGCAGGATACTCTTTCTTTTTCTTTCTTTCTTTTACTTTATTTTTATTTTGTTTCTTTTTCTTTCTTTTTTTTTTTTGAGTTGGAGTCTTACTCTGTCACCCAGGCTAGAATGCAGTGGCACACTCACAACCACCCCAGCATCAACCTGCTGGGTTCAGGTGATCCTTCCACCTCAGCCTTCCAAGTAGGCGGAACTACAGGGCCCGCTACCATGCCCAGCTAATTTTGTATTTATTGTAGAGATGAGGTTTTGCCAAGTTGCCCGGTCTGGTCTTGAATCCATGTGCTCAGGCAATCCCCTCACCTCGGCCTCCCAAAATGCTGGGATTACAGGCTTGAGCCACCGTGCCCAGCCTTTATTTTATCTCATTTGTTTGAGTTAGGGTCTCACTCTGCAGCCCAGGCCGAAGTGCAGTGGTACAAACATGGTTCACTGCAGCCTTGACTTCTTGAACTTAAGCAATCCTTCCTCCCCAGTCTTCCAAGTAGTAGGGATTATTGGGATATGTGACCACAAAATTAGCATGGCAGCTCATTTTAAGGCTAGGCTTTTTTTTTTTTTTTTAATTCACTCTAGTCATTTAGCCTCTCTATAAAATGTGATGGACATCAGATATTTTACATGACAGCTAACATTCTTCCATCTCAAAATGGAGGTTTCATATCTTTTGGCAGCCTTGTTTTGGTGTCTTTGAACTGACTGAAGTTCTTCACGATATATTCTGTGCCTGACTGATAAATGCCATATGAGTGTCATTGATGACTCTAAAGAACATGGAGGTAAGTCAGGAGATGTCTGATTAGATAAGGCCCAGGCTGCCTTACATTGGCATTTGCTTTGTTAGGCTTGTCATTCAGACCTT